GGGGGGGGGGGGGGGGGGAGGACAAGCAGCCGGACACCGGGGCGCCGGCTGGTCGATGCGCGGGCCTGTGTGGCCCTTAGATGAGGCGCACAGGCCCCAAGAATGCCACCCCCGCCGGGCTGGGCCATGCCGCGGGTCCCCCCGGCCCCGGGTCCCGGAGGGCAGGAGGAGCGAGAAACGGTCGACAGAAGCGGCTTGGACGTCGGCCGGCATCATTAGCACGCCCATGAAGCCCATGGCATGCGCAGAAGAAGCCGCACTAGCACGACCACACGGGGTCCGGGCCGTGTTGCTCCGAGCCGGGTGTGGCCACATCCAGCGGCGTGAGTCCCCCCCCCCCCCTCGTCTCTCCGTCCGGCAACCGGGGGAGGTGGAGGCAAGGGGGAGAAACGCTCTCGCTCTCTCTTTTTTTTTCCTGGACTTCCGGCAGGCTGCCTTCTCTCCCGGTGAGGAGCGCTGAGGAGACACACGCACACACGCGGGCGAACATACAGACAACCGTCCCATCCAGCCCGCCCTGGAGGGGGGGGGCGCGCGTCGGCCACCAGGGAGGAAAGGAAATCCCGTCCCAACATCGGCGGAGAGAGGAGGGGAGGGAGGGGGGGGCGACGGCGGGAGGAGAGAGCGGAGAGAGAGCCAGCGTAGTGCACGATCGGAGGATGCCTCCTTTGCTCAGAAGAACTGGGCAACGAAGTTGGCCACACCGATGGCGATCAGCGCACAGTGAACGACGATGCTGGTCTTGGTGAGCAGACCCTGGCGCTTCTTCTCCATGACCTCAAAGCCGATGGGCAGCATGTAGACGGCAATCATGCCAAAGAAGGCGCCGGAGAAGCTGCAAAAGGGGACATCAGCGGGGGAGGAACGACGTGTGAGCGAAGGTGCGCGCCACGCCGGCGGAAAGAGTGACAAGAGCAGCTGCGCAAATGCCAGCGGCAGGAAGAACACGAGGAAAAAAAAAACAAAGGGGGGAGGGGGACCGTACCGGAGAACGTCGCCAACATTCGGGTAGAAGACCGCCATCAGGATACACGTGGCAGAGAGGATGACATGAACCGCAAGAACCTTGAAGGTCGAGGGGTAGGGGTTGTTGTAGACGAAGCTCATGAACTGGAAGCGGATAATGTACGCAATGAGGGGGAAACTGTGGGGGGGGGGGGGGGGGGGGGCAGTAGCATGTGTCAGCAAGGGCCCGCTTCGCGAAGGGCAGCGAAATACAGGGGAGAGGGGGGAGAAAAGGACGCAGGAATGCACATACATGGTGATCATCTGGAACAGAAGCAGCAGCTGGGCCACGAAGAGGCCGCCGTTGCCGGGGGCGATTTCCTGGATGTTGCGGAGCAGATTCTGTGCGGGGTGGGACAGGCAGGCAGATAAGGCAGGCCACCGACAGCACGCGAGGTTGCCATGCGAGGAAGGGGGGAAACATCGGGGGGAGGACGAGACGCCATGAACAAACAGATGGTCAGATAATTCGGTGGCGCGTGCCGGCGAACCGTGGGCGGGTATGTGGATCAACCCATGCGGACGCGCAAACCGGCGAGCATGTGAACGCACATCATAGATCTTGGACTTGTCCTCGACACAGAAGTAGAAGAGGAAGGCCACGGCGAGGTAGGAGAAGAAGACAAGGACGTAGGCGATGGAGAGATCGCGCGCGTTGTTCTCCGGGTTGCGCTGGTTGCGCATGATGGAGAGGATCGCGTTGTGAATGTAGAAGGAGAGAGTGAGCACGCCGCTGAAGTAGTAGAACTTCCCCGTAAACAGGGTGGCGTTGCCATATACGAAGCCGCTGCTGATGGCCCAGTAGGCCACGAAGCCGATCATGTAGATCACGGAGATGGTGCCTGCAGGGAGGGCCGGCGGGGGGGGGACAGAAAGAGGGGGAGAGAGGGCGGCGTGAGAAGGCCTGCGACAGGAAGAGAAGCCCCGGAGGGGGACCGAAAGAAGATGGAACATACCCAGCGAGGTGAAGCGCGCGAAGAAGCTGAAGTTCTTGATCAAGGTCAGGGGGAAGATGAGGATCAGCAGGAAGATGGCCACATACTCCGGCGTCCAGTAGGGCGCCAGCGGAGTGTCCTCAATACCGAGCCCGTTGACCCAGTAGGCGATCTGGTCGCCGAGGTTGTAGAGGAAACCACTCATGAGAATGCCATAGGCGAAGGTGGCACCCCAGAAGACACCGATGGAGGAGATGGCCGCCGCGCGGGCGCCCCACTTGCCGAAGTACATGGCCGCCAGGTCGGCAAAGTCCACCACCACCCCACGACGGCCGTTACCATGGTCATGGCGCACAATGAGCAGCGCGGTATACGTGCAAATGGACACCATGACCAGCATAGTGAAGAGACCCATCAGCCAGCCAGACTGGTTCAGAGCCCAGGGCATGGACAGCAGGGACGAGCCGATCATGGTGTTCCAGATGGAGAAGATGGTGGTCACGCTGGACTGCTTGCCCTCGGGGCTGTCGGCGTCGGCCTCCTCGTCGAGGCCCTTCTCGGCGGCCTCGATGGCATTGCGCCGGAGGGCCTCCTGCTCGAGGGCGGTCTTGGTATCGACCACGGGCCCGGTGGTGCCGCTGATGCGGCTGGCCGAGAAGGGGACCGCATTGTTGCCCAGGAGGGAGGTCCGCTCGCCGGACGGGCCGTCGGCCTCATCGGCCGCACCGCCGCTGTTCAGGCTGTGCGATGTGTCCACCACGTAGGACGACCGGTCCTTGGGAGAATCGTCGCCAGCCGGCGAGGCAGGCTCCGACTCCACCGGGTCCACGTAGGTGGCATTGAAGTCGGGATCGGCATTGAGCGAGGGAATGTGGCTGGTGGGGACCACAATGCGCCGGGCACCGGCGGACCCGGCGTTCGGCGGGGCCTCCAGCGCCGGGACCACAATGTCGGCGGTCTGGTCGCCGGCCGGACGCAGGCGCACCGAGGCCAGGGCCGGCGGCACACCGCCAACCGAAGCCTCGGAAGCCCGCGAAGCCATGGACAACGCCTCGGACGACCGTGACACGATGGTCGATGCCTCTGACAGCCGCGGCGGCACCGACCCGGGAATGGCCCCGATGAATGTGATGGTCTGTGGGACCTCGACCGGCTCCGGGGCCACCGGAGACAGGATATCAGCCATGGGAGTGGGAGCAGCCTCGGGGCTGATCAAGGAGGCAATCTCCGGCACCGGCTCGACACTGACCTCGGCCACCGGCTCGACACTGACCTCGGCCACCGGCTCGACACTGACCTCGGCCACCGGCTCGACAGTGACTTCGGCCACCGGCTCGACCGTCACCTCGGCCACCGGCTCGACCGTCACCTCGGCCACCGGCGGGCTGGCAAGCTCAATCACGGGCTCAACAGCGGCCTCAAGTGCAGGCTCGATGGGCACCACCTCAGGCACGATTGCCTCCGGCATAGGCTCGATGGTGGCCGGCACATCGGCACCCTGAAGCACCACCTCCGAGACAACAGGCTCAGGGGAGTTGTCAACCTCGGCCGGGCCGTCGGCGACGTCATCCCCCTCATCAAGGACGATGCTATCATCCTCAATGATACCATCCTGGCTGTCGACGGCGACGGCGATGTCCTCATCGACCGGAGCGGCGACCGCCACCTCCGGCACGCTCGGGTCGGCGGTAGCCGGCCGCGAGCGGTTCTTCTGCTTGCGCCTTCGACCCGACATGGTTGGCTCCTCAGACACACAGGGGAGACTAGCTGACGGGAACCGACACTTAAGTCCGAGGGGGGGGGAGGGGGCAGTAGCTGGGCCGGCGCAAAAGTGGACAACAAAGAGATGGGGGAGAAACCCCAAGGAAAAGACAGACAGACAAAGAAACCGCGGAGGGGGACAAAGGGTCAGGGCGAGAGGAGCGATCGCGAGGGCGGAGGGAGGAGAGGGGGATGGAGAGGCACACGAGATCCTCTTTCCAGTGACGCAGCCGGATCCCCGAGTGGGCGATCCGCCCAGTTGCAGGGGCGCTAGAAAAAGCTGCCCCGCCTTGCCTTTTCCAGGGAGGCCCTTGCCGGGGTATGTGACGGCAGATCAGCGCGAAGGGACATCCCCGCCCCCCAAGTGGCCGGTCACGCAAGTGGCCGTGTCAGCGTGTAGGCACGCCGCGGGGGGGGGGGGGGGGGAGGACAAGCAGCCGGACACCGGGGCGCCGGCTGGTCGATGCGCGGGCCTGTGTGGCCCTTAGATGAGGCGCACAGGCCCCAAGAATGCCACCCCCGCCGGGCTGGGCCATGCCGCGGGTCCCCCCGGCCCCGGGTCCCGGAGGGCAGGAGGAGCGAGAAACGGTCGACAGAAGCGGCTTGGACGTCGGCCGGCATCATTAGCACGCCCATGAAGCCCATGGCATGCGCAGAAGAAGCCGCACTAGCACGACCACACGGGGTCCGGGCCGTGTTGCTCCGAGCCGGGTGTGGCCACATCCAGCGGCGTGAGTCCCCCCCCCCCCCGCACCCCGCACCCCGCACCCCGCACCCAGCACCCCGGCTGCCTGCCCGGCTTCCTTTCTCTCTCCCCTCCAGTCGCGGCAACTATCGCGACGGCCAGTCGGCCGCCCGGCCGGGGGGCCTCCCAGACCCATGTGCTAGACGGCCACCTGGCAGCCCCCGCCCGGCCGCCGGGCTGCCCGGCCGACCGGCCACCTGCTTCGGCGCACACACGCGCGCATGTGGCCCCGGCACACGCGCTGGTTGGCAGATTCCATCCCATGTTGTCACATAGCACGGTCGGGCCGCCACGGGGAGTCCGATGGGAGGGCACGGCCACCACCGAATGAGGGCCACAAGGCGGGAGAGGACCGGCGTCGTGGTGACTGGTGGCCGGGGCCCCCGCCCCCGGTGAGACCACAACCAGATCCACACGGGTGCGCGTTTGGGTCCCGCGCACCCGGCCCCGGCGGGGCTCCGACCCCCCCTCCGGCCCCCCACGGCCAGTGAGGCTCCGGAGGCGTGCGGTACTCCGCGGGAAAGGCCGCGCGTGCTCGCCCCGCCCCCGCCCCCCCCCCCCTTGATCGGCCACATGCCCGGTACCAGCTTGGTGGGGGGGGAAAAAACACCCATGAGGCCACGGCGGCGCCCCACACAAATACGCGTCTTCGGAGGGGCCGAGGCCGCGCGCATGCGCGCGCACGAGCACGCGCTCCCCCCGCGCCATGGAGCCGCCCCACATTTCCCAGCCCCCCTTCCCCTCCCCCCCTTGAGGGTCCGCTTGCACACCCAGTCTGCCGGGCCCGGGAGAAAGGGGCCTGCCGCCTGCTTCGCACGCGGGGGACCGGCGCCCATCGCAACTTCCAGGCCCCCCCCCCCCCCCCCCCCCCCCCCCCCCCCCCCCCCCCCCCCCCCCCCCCCCCCCCCCCCCCCCCCCCCCCCCCCCCACTCCGGCGCGCCTCCTCCCTCCCTCTCTCCAGCCACGTATGATCCCCGCTCGCGCCCCATGCCCCCGCCCCCTAACGGCGGGGTCTCTGGCGCCTTCCACGGGGGGCACCAGGAGAGGCCGGCGAGGGACCTGGAATTCCATTGCGTCGGCACGTGATGCACGAGGCGACCTATGACTAGCCCCAGTGACGTGACCCAGGGCGGTGGATGAAAACACTGTCCTGCCTCCCCTCTCCGGGCTCAGAGGCCGTGTGGAAGATGTGGCAACTGTTGACCGACAAGGCCTCTCCCCGTCTAGCAACTGTGGGCCGGCACCGGGGCAGACAAGGCGTAAGGGGGGACCGGCACAGCTCGCCCACCGGAGAAAGACCCGTGTGTAAAGAGAGAGAGAGAGAGAGAGAGAGAGAGAGAGAGATACAGGGATGTATTGATGAATTGCTGTGGCAACATTGGGGAAAGGGAAAATAGGAAGGGGGAGATGCACACAAGGACTGGGAGGAGAAAGGGGGAACACATGTCTCAGCCCTCTCCAGACGCCCGGCGCCGCCGGCAGGGACACTCACGCGCGAGGGGTGGAGTGGGAGGGGGGATAGAGGAGGGGGAAAGGGCAAAAGACAACTCCTGCTGGCCGCCCTTCCCCCGCCCCCCCTCCCCGCACCACATGGCCTCTCGAGCGCGGCCTCTCTCACCGGACGGTGGGCACAAGGAAAAACCTAAGAAGCATCAGAGGGAAGAAGGATCGGAGAGGTGGCAGGAGGGGAGCATGGCAGGAGGCGGGCGCCGTGCACGCGTGTGCGGAGAAAGCCACACCCACACATGCACACCCACAACACGGGGAGGGCACACCATGATCTTTGACTGGAGAGCAGGAGCGGGAAGGGAGAGGCAATAGGAGACTGCACACTTTGCAGAATATGCACATGCTTTTGGCCCTTCATAGCCTCGCCCTGAGGAGAGGGGAGAGAAGTTGGAGTGGGGGAGGGGGGAGGGAGGAAAAGAGGGGGCGCGCCACACGCCACATGGAGTATATGGACAAAGTCATGCGCGGGGCGCGCGCGACAGGGGGAGAAGGGGAGGGAGGTGCCCCGCCTAGGGGCCGGAGGAGACAAGCTCTCTAAGCCGGTGCTCGTCTTGCCTCTCACTCCTCCTTTGCTGCCCCTGCGCTCCTGATCCCCTCCTTGCGCTAGCGCCCAGCCCCCCAGACGCCGCTGCGGACATCTCGGGGAAAGCCTCCGCGCGTGTGTCGCATGCTGGCCCGGTTCCGGTGTGGGGGACACTCGCACACTCGCACCGAGAGAGAGAGAGAGAGAGAGAGAGAGGGAGAGAGAGAGAGGGAGGGAGGGAGAGAAGGAGAGCCGGTGCATGAGGGAGGAGAGGAAGACATGTGTCCTCCCCCCGAAAGCCCCCCGGCCATGCACAGGCACAGGCACAGGCACAGCCGCGCGCGTGCGCTCTTCTCTCGCCTTACTGGGAGAAGGAGGGGCGCGAGGCGTTGGACAGGCGCGAGCTGGCCGGAGCACCCATCGGCGGGCTCCGGTACCCATGGTAGAAGTCGCCGTCCTTGATGTTGAGGGCGGTCATCTCATGGGCATCGGCCGGGGCGGCCGCGCGACGGCGCGACCGAATCCACGGAACCAGCTTACGCAGGATCAGGTACTTGAGCAGCTTGTACAGCTCGCAGAAGATGAGGTACACACCGAAGGAGCCGAAGATGAAGGCAAACTCCCAGGTGATGGGAGCCTGGCCGAAGACATCCAGGTTGATGAAGGGCACATAGATCAGCGGGAACAGCAGGATCACCGAAGCAATGGACGTCAGGGCCAGGTTCCGGGTCAGGCGGAAGGGCACACGAATGAGCGACTGGTTCGGGACCACCATCACCCAAGCGTGAGTGATCAGCATGAGCATCATGCTGTTGAAGCACACCGTGCGGGCGCGGAAAATCTCCGCACAGCCAGGATCCCCGAAGGAAGCACGATCATTGCAGCTGACCACATCAAAGCCAATGGGCGAGGCCGACTCGATGGCCCACACGAACATGGCCAGCGACAGCAACCCGATGAAGGCACTGAAAACCAGCACGTCGCACAGGATCTCCCAGCTGAACACCACCGACCGAGCGGTACGCGGCGGGACTTCCATATTCTCCTTGGTACCCTCCATGGTACCGACACCCATGGCCTGCGGCCCGGCGGTCATCAGGTTGATCCAGAGAATCTGAATGGCCGACAGGGGGAAGATCGAGTGGCCACTGGAATCGGAGAAGGCCAGCGCACAGGCCAGCACCACCAGCTGCGCCAGGCAAACCGTCATCAGCAGACGAATGAACTTGGAAGTGTTGTTGATCACACGGCGGCCCTCGGCCACCGCGCGCACGATGGTCATGAAATTGTCATCGGTCACCACCAAGTCGGCGGCCTGCTTGGTGACATCGGTACCACCGTGGCCCATGGCCACACCGACATCGGCATACTTGACAGCCGGGGCATCATTCACACCGTCACCGGTCATGACGACGATCTTCTTACGACGATGGAGCGACTCAATCAGCTTGACCTTGGACTCGGGCGAGCAACGGGCCAGCACTCGCGGAAGCTCCGTCATCTTGTCGATCTCCTCGTCGGTCATGGCATCAAAGTCGCGAGCCACCATGACCATCCAGCTGGGGCAGTTCTCCGGCACGATGCCCACATTCTCGGCGATGGCATGCGCCGTCAGCGGGTGATCACCGGTGGCCATGTGCACCGTGATGCCGGCCTCATGGCAAATCCGCACTGCCTCATAGGACTCCGGGCGCGGGGGATCAAACATGCCGACCAGCCCCAGGAAGATGAAGTCCCGCTCATTGGCGTCACGATCCTCGATGGTCTGCACCCGGCCATCCGGGTCATACTTGTCCAGGCGATAGCCGAAGGCCAACACACGCAGGGTCTGCATGGACATGCGCTCGGCGATGCCCATCACCTGGGCACAGAAGGCCGCATCGATCGGCACCACCGTAGTCCCATCATCACCGCCAACGCGGGTCACACACCGCTCCAGCACCACCTCGGTGGCACCCTTGATGTAGGTCAGGGTCTGGCCCAGTCGGGGAGCATGGTAAATCATGGTCATGCGCTTGAGCGAGGCGTCGAAGGGGAACTCCGAGGCGAAAGTCCAATCGCGCTCCAAATCCGGCCGCATGACGCCGGCCTTGCCGGCCAGCACCACCAGAGCCACCTCGGTCGGGTCGCCGGCCGTCACCCACTCCTCCTCGTGGAGGGTGATGGTGGCCGTGGCACAAAGGGTGCAAGCCTGCAGCAGGTGGCGAATATCCTCGGACACCCGGTCGAAGGGCAGCACCCGCTGGGTGCTGGCGCGGGGCGAAGCACCGGCCGCCGCCGCATCGGAAGTGGTACCATCGGCCGAGAGGACCTGCTCGCCCGGGTGGCGCGAATCCTCCTTCAGAAGGAACTGCCCGCCGGAATCCATATCCTGACCGGTGACCTTGCAGTGGGCCGTCGGGGTCCAGAACTCGGTGGCCACCATCTGGCCAATGGTAATGGTGCCGGTCTTGTCGGAGCAAATGTTCGTCGCCGTGCCCAACCCCTCCAGGGAGTTGAGCTTACGAATGATGGCCTTCTGCCGGGTCATCCGCTGGACGGCATACGCGTAGACGACCGTCACCACGGCCGGCAGACCCTCCGGGATGACAGCCACCGACACGGCCAGCGCATACAGCAGGATGGTCTTGTCCTTGAAGTTGAACTTGTTGACCGCCATGACCGTCAGCGCAAAGAGCAGGGCCATGACCAGCAGGATGTACAGCAGGACATTGAGCTGGCGCTGGACCGGGGTCTTGGTGGAGGCCGGGCCGCCGGACAGCACGGCCTTGGCAATCCGACCAATGGCCGTGTCCATGCCGATGGAGGTGACCACACCCCGGCCGTGGCCCTGGGTCACGACCGTGCTCTTGAAGGCCATGTTCCGCTGGTCGCCCAGCGGGCAGAGAGGATCGTCAATGGCATGGGTGACCTTGGCCGCGGGGACCGTCTCACCGGTGAGCAGAGCCTCGTCAATGCGCAGGTTGACAGCCTTGATCAGACGGATGTCCGCGCCAATCTGGTCACCCTCGACAATCTCGATAATATCACCAATGGTCACCTCGGTGGCCGACACCTCAACCAGGCGCCCATCGCGCAGGATGCGCGCCACCGGCGACGAAATCATCCGCAGGGCCTGGAGGGTCTTCTCGGAGCGAAGCCTGTGACGAAGGAGGGAGGGGGGGAATAGAGAGGATATGGCATTAGAATGCGCCCTTGTCCGAAGAGGTGCGAGAGGGGGGGGGGGAGAGAGAGAGAGGAGACGCGCATCGCAAAAGGGGGGACGAGGGAGGGTCCAAGGGGATGCATCGATTTAAGGAGGGGGGGGAGAGAGAAAGAGAAACGCACTCCTGAACGAAGGAAATGGTACCGTTGACAATGATGAAGATGATCAGCACAACGGCCTCAATCCACTGGCTGGTGACAATGGAAATGATCAGGCAGACCGTCAGGACAATCATCATCGGGTTGACCAGGTTATCGAAGAGAATCATCCAAATGTTGATCTTCGAATCGCCGGTCAGCTCGTTGGGGCCATGGTTGAGCATGCGGGTGGCCGCCTCGGCGGAGCTAAGGCCACGCTTGGGGTCTGTGCGCGAGGCGCGGAGGCGCGGAGGCGGAGTCAGGACCGGGCGGACGTGAGGAGAGAGGAGGAGCATGGCAGCATTCAAGGATGTGAATCAGATCACAAGGGGGGGGGGGGGGGGACCGGCGAGGAGACCCGAGCAACACGTACTGACACCGAAAATCCGGGTGACCACCGCGTGGTCAATGCAGAAGGGCGGCTTGTTGTAGTGCTCGTCGGCCACGACGATCTCCGTCAGAGAGGGAGCCTGCGAGGAGACCGAGTAGATGGAGTTCGACCGAGGCCGGCCGGCACCAGCACCATAGAGGCTGGAGGTGTCAGCACCGGAGGTGATGGCCTCAGCCAGGGCTTGGACATTGGGCAGCCCGGCATCCGAATGGATGATGGACCCGCGGCGGCGGCGAGTGGCGGCGGCAGCGCTGCCAGCCGGCCGGGCCGCCGGACCAGGGGACACCACCTCCTCCGGAGCCAGGAGGTCGGCCTTGGCATCGGGCACCTCAACCGAAACCGGCGGAGCGGCCTCCGGGGTCAGGTGGACGGATGCCAGAGACACCGACGGGTCGGCCTCGGCATCGGGCTTGTGAGCCTGGCTCACGCCCTCCACCGAGGAGCATGACTCGCCGCCGAGAGACTCGGCCTTCAGCGAGGCGGACGTTCCATCCGACGCGGAGGAGGGAAGCTCGCTCGAGTCGGCCACGGCGACGCCGTCAGCATCATGGGTATCGGTCACGTCGGCGGCCGGGGGGACGGAGACGGTGTCGTTGTTCGGGAGGGTGGCATCGGGCGCCGGGTCGAAGGAGCCCATCAGAGCAGAGGCGCCATCGCGGCTATCCATAGTGCACGCGTGAGGGCGGGGGCTAGGACAGGGGGCCGGAGGCTGTGGCGACCGAAGGCGAGGGGCAGGTGAGGCGTCAGTACAAGCGGGGTGCAGG